GCTAGACGAAAGGGTTTTCCGTTTTGGAGTTGCTTCGCAGGACGAATTCCCCTATGGGCTTGCTTCGCAAGACGAAAATGTCTTGCGAGTCTAGAGATTTTTTTTTCGCTTTCCCCCCCCTTTATCTAATCTGCTAAGCCTTTAATAGCCTTTAATAGCCTTTTAGCAGCTAATCCCCTAAGCCTTTAATAGCCGCTAAACCGCTAATAGCGCTAATAGCGCTAATCCGTCAATGGGCTTGCTTCGCAAGACGAAAAAACCGCTAGACGAAGACTCTCGCGGAACGGATTAATTTCGTCTTGCGAGGCACCACTGTACTGCAATTCAGATCCTATTCAACTCAGTACATAACAGATACGTTTATTTCATTTGTCCCTTATTTGTCCATTCCGCCTTTCCTCCAAGGAGCTCAAGGTGACATTCGTGGGTCTCTTTTCTCCCATCCCATCTTCACAGCTGCTCTGCGATGTAGTTTAGGCTGAGAGGCAGTGACTTTATCCGACTTCATATCCCTGCATCTTGTTCTGCATATCCTGGAAGTGGGGGACAGAGATGTAGAAGTGAATAAGCATGTAGATGCTCTTTTTGAGAGCAGTGATGTCTCTTATAATACCTTGTTCCAATTGGAGGCAACTTTTGTTGGGAAGGAATGGCAAGAAGTATTGGTGGAAACCACATTCAAATGCCAGCAAGACGCGCAGGGTTACTGATGTCATTGTTATTCCCAGGCACTTATTTCCTCTCCATAAGCTATGCTAGCATTGTTGGAGCAGTGAAATTTCCACTCCTCTATCAGCTCAGAAGGCAGTTTGTTAAATGCACTGTTTCATTCCACAGGACATCCTTCAGCTCCTTACTGAATCTACAATGCTAGCTCAGCACTTTAAATTACTCTGCAAAGCAATTACTGAGGTGGTTCCCCCCCCCCGCCTTCCTGAGTATAGTTTTGGAAGGTAAGACATTTCACTATAATCAGGGGTTTCGGTGACAAGTGCCTTTGTAAAATGTTTTCCATTCTTTTGCAACTTGTACATTTTAGGCTTATCTTATGCTGCCATGGTAGGTAAGAGGCAATAAGTTGTATTCACCATTAAAAACAATAATGATGGTTGCTTTTCATCTGGCATTGCAACACCAGCCGAAAACCCCTTATTCTCTTGGCTTATGATTCTCAGGAAAAGCAGGCCCCTTAAATAAATCCACATTATTGATAACTCTTGTATTATTGTTGCTATAGACAGATTCAAGCACAGAGTCGAGTAAGTACAGAATGAACAGGCTGGTTTCCACATTTGCCTTCTAGACAAACAAGCTTTCAAATGTGTACTCAATCTCTCTCTCTTTTTCCTCATGTGCAATGGATATTGTTGTTGCCTCTGGTAATAAGTTGTCAATTCACACTGTAGAGTGCTAGTCTACTTCTGGTGTGGGCTCAATGGTTGGTTTCAAGCAAACCACTCTCAGTCTTAACGCACAATCAGAGAATTGTATAATAATAATAATGATGTTGATAATGATAATTTATTTATACCCCACCCATCTGGCTGGCTCCCACACAATATATTAAAAGCATAATAAAAATCAAGTGTTAAAAACTTCCCTAAACAGGGCTGCCTTCAGATGTTTTCTAAAAGTCAGATAGTTGTTTATTTCTTTGACATCTGATGGGAGGACGTTCCACAGGGCAGGTGCCACTACCGAGAAGGCCCTCTGCCTGGTTCCCTGCAACCTCACTTCTCGCAATGAGGGAACCACCAGAAGGCTCTCGGCGCTGGACCTCAGTGTCCAGGCTGAAAGATGGGGGTGGAGACACTCCTTCAGGTACACTGGGCCGAGGCCGTTTAGGGCTTTAAAGGTCAGCACCAACACTTTGAATTGTGCTTGGAAATGTACTGGGAGCCAAGGTAGGTCTTTCAAGACCAGTGTTATGTGGTCTCAGCAGCCACTCCCAGTCACCAGCATAGCTGCCACATTCTGAATTAGTTGTAGTTTCTGGGTCACCACGTAGAGCACATTGCAGTAGTCCAGACCATGTATAGAAGCACACCAGAGGCTTGACAAACTTCCTGCTTTGACTGACTGAGACTACAGAAGCAGAGGGGTGTTCATAACCACATACAAATTGAGGTTGGGTAGGCTACATTTGGCTCAATGGGTCACAACTTGCATAATGGGTGTTCGTAGAACTGCCAAGTTCAAATCCCCACTCGGTCTTAAAGATCACTGGGTGCCCTTGAGCCAGTCACTATCTCCCAGCATAACCTACCCAGGGATGGCAGCAGGATTTCCTGGTCCCAGGACACTGTTTGTGAATCCTGCCTCCCACTGCAATCTATTAGCTAGAACCAATATTTAAAACCAACATTAGTCTCCTATCAGATAGCAACAGTGATCCTTTAGTAAGCCCTGCCTAATTGCTTAAAAAAATAGGATTGGATGGAGAAAGAGATATTAGCAACATAATCCCATATCTACTCAAAATGAGTCTCATTGGCTTGCAGCAGAATCTTGACCATGTCTACTCAAATGCAAGTCCTATTGAATTCAGGATGCTGGGAAGGAGCAGATTCAAACAGGCTGTGAATTAGATCCAGTTTTAATACTATTTTAATATTGCTGAAGGGGGCAGTGGGTTTAGCCCCTATTTCTTAGCTAATTGTTTCCTTCATGTGTCAGTAGGACTTAACAATAGGGTTTCATTCATCAACAGCTGGAGGGAATTCTTCGAAAAACCTTATGAGAATTTCCTTTTTCATTCCTTCCCCAGTCAAAGTGCCTACTATCCAAAGCTAGTCAAATTATTTTAACACCAGAGGCAGAAAATCCCATAAAATCCTCTTCCCTTCTCAGGTAGTAAAGATACAATAACAACTGAAATAAAAATTTGCTGCCACTTTGTGACACCCCAAATATGCCGAGACGTCTGCCTCAGTCTGCCTAATGATAGGGCCAGCCATGTCCCCTCACAAACTCTTGAGGAATTCTGCCTCCTCTCAGAAAATACTCAGGCAAATGTCTTCCTCCCTTCATTTCAGAGTCACCAAATAAACTGAATAATTTTGGCGAGGCCATGAATGCTGAGCCCTAGGTCAGTTTCTGTCTGAACCACAGTTTGACAGACAGATTTTAACTTGGGGGGGGGGGGAATCTGTATATTCACAATTCGTTTCAACCATCTTTCTTTTTGTCTTCTCTGTACATCATTACAATCACAGTTGTTATAAGGAAATAACAACCTCATTGTCATCCATCTCCATCCCAAAGTAGATCACAATGAAGGTCATCACGGATGAAAGATTTCACTTTTCAGTTTATTGGGGTTATTTGCCCAAGTCTATTCAGCCACACATTGCTAAATAAGCGGCCATTCTGAGTCAAATTACCTATCTCAATGAGACGAACAAATGCTACCTCCATTTAGTGACATGCTTTGAAATTTGTACTTTGAGTTATTCATTTCCATAAATAGTTTGCTGAAGACTAGGATTCGAGCGGCATGTGCCCATTATCTTGTTAATAGGCCTTTCTGCTTTAAATCTACTAGGAATGCAAATAACTGATAATTCTAGACTCATTAAGTAAATCTCTAGAGACTTACTTTGGTTAAATGTTCCAACGGGCATGTTTAGCACTTGTATTGGGATTGGTGAAATTCCAAAAAAAATCTGTAAATTAAAGTTCTGAAGAGTGCCATACAATATGCATAATGAAACCCAGGATGTAAATTAAGAAGATTTATACCGCTGCATTCTGCTTACGTTATTCAATCTGAATGCTTCACAGGTTTTTATGAAGCAAATAAAGCACTGCTTTTCCTCGAATTTCATTCTAAATGGTCACCACGGATTCATTCTTACATTGCATCCTTCACATATTAAAGACGGAATTGTTCTTCTGGTGATATATCATATTAAAAGCCTAAGACTTTGAAGCTGATTCCTCATAGTTGTGTTGGTAGTAGTGAGGAGGGCTGCAAGCTTTTTAATCAGTCTGATCAGCAAATTAATCAACTTCTGAACCAGTAGAAGGCATTTTTTTTTACCAGTGAGGTACAGTTATATCTGGCTTGAGAGGCAGGATTCTGGAATGTTACTCTAGCAGGAAATGTGAAAATATAAAATATGACCTTTCCTTCAAATACTATATTTTGTTATTGTTGTTTAATCATAATTTATTTTAAGGCATTTTCATATCTCAGAAACGCACCTACATTAAGTTTGGTTATATTCAAATTACTTTAAATGCAGTTGATAATTCATTAACTAGTTAAATGTAGGGACAGGATCTTACCAAGCCGACATCTGTTTTAAGGTAAAGGTAAAGGGACCCCTGACCATTAGGTCCAGTCGTGGCCGACTCTGGGGTTGCGGCGCACACCTCGCTTTATTGGCCGAGGGAGCCGGCGTACAGCTTCTGGGTCATGTGGCCAGCATGGCTAAGCCGCTTCTTGAGAACCAGAGCAGCGCACGGAAACACCGTTTACCTTCCCGCCGGAGTGGTACCTATTTATCTACTTGCACTTTGACGTGATTTCCAACTGCTAGGTTGGCAGGAGCAGGGACCGAGCAGTGGGAGCTCACCCCGTCATGGGGATTTGAACCGCCGACTTTCTGATCAGCAAGTCCTAGGCTCTGTAGTTTAACCCACAGCACCACCCGCATCCCCTGTTTTAAGGACTCCTTGTAAAACATCCTCTGGACATGCAAGATGAAATGAATGGACCAATGGATGATCTTTCTTTTTCTCCTTTTTATTAAAGGCAAGCTGGTGTCAGGAACGTGGCCCCCCCAGGGCGTAGGGGAAGAGTTCGACTCAGAAATCAAACTAAGTAAACGAGGGAGCGACTCTGCAGATGAAAGCTGGCTGACAGAGTCAAGAAAGGGCAGTTTGATCCCCCTTTCAGGGGAAGACTCTTTTAGCTCTCAAGAAGAGGAAGAGTTGGAAGGCAGCCAGAGTGTTGCTAGGCAATCAGCAGATAAACAGAGGTCTGAGTCTGTGTTGAGTGGCAGTGAGGAGGGGGCAGGCCAGCCTCTCAGTCCCCATTCTGGGCATCTGGATAAGATCAGATGGCAAAGGAAGGGCAAGAGGGGAAAGGCGGGAGTTTGTCGTCCTTCCTGCTGTGGAAGGGGCAAAATTTCAGACTGACCAACTATTGTAAATGCGAGCAGGCGAGAAGCTGTGCTCTGGATGTGTCTTTTTGTAAATATACATAAAATTGTCGGAGAGTCATTACTTCTTATCGGGCTTGCTTGCCTGCCAGAGATCATTGCAGCTGATATAGGTGTCCTGAAATTGAAATTTCAGTGACAGCCTGGAAAAGGAAGCCATGTCTGGATAAAAAATTAGGCTTCCAGGTGGAAAAATCAAAATTGGAAACAGAATTGTTAGATCCTAAAGTTAAGAATTTGTCAAGAATGTATAACTTGCTGTTGAAATGGAATACACAAGATGAAACGGTGAAATCGGCTATGATTAAATGGGCTCAAGATGTTGGACATAATATCATGATGGCTGAATGGGAACAGTTATGGACCGCTGGCATGAAGTTTACAGCATGTAATGCCTTAAAAGAGAATTTAATGAAAATGATTTACTGGTGGTACATAACACCAGTCAAGCTTGCAAAAATTTATCATTTGCCTGATAACAAATGTTGGAAATGTAATGAAACTGAAGGTACATTCTTTCACCTTTGGTGGACATGCCCAAAGATTAAGGCATTCTGGGAGATGATCTATAATGAAATGAAAAAGGTATTTAAATATACCTTTCTGAAGAAACCAGAGGCCTTTCTCCTGGGCATGGTCGGCCAATTGGTGCCAAAGAAGGATAGAACTTTCTTTATGTATGCCACAACAGCAGCAAGAATACTTATTGCAAAGCACTGGAAGACACAAGATCTACCCATTAGGGAAGAATGGCAGATGAAGCTGATGGACTATATGGAACTGGCGGAAATGACTGGCAGAATCCAAGACCAGGGAGAAGAGTTGGTGGAAGAAGATTGGAAAAAAATTAAAGTATATTTACAAAAACATTGCAAAATTAAGGAATGTTAGAAGGATGTTGGAATGAAGTTGTATGGTTTTAGCAGAAATGTAATAAAGAATTAAGTAAAAATTGATTGATAATGGGCTAAAATGAAAAAAATTAAAGGTTAGACCGTTAAGATAAATTATAGAACAAAAATTGAGAAAGATGGGAAGAACTTGCTGAAATAGTTAATTGAACTAGAATACAAAAAGGGAGGCGTGAGGAGGTCGATGAAACAAGTAAATGAAATGTAAAGGATGTGTTTTAATGATTTTTCTTTTTTGCTGTATTGTTGTATTGTTTTCTTTTATGTTTTTTTCTTTTTGTATATGTACTGTAATGTATGTTTTGTTAATTTCTTATTGTTTTTTCTTTTTCTGCTTTCTGTAATTTTTAAATTCTTAATAAATATCGTTTTAAAAAAAAAGGAAAAGGAAGCCATGTCATTTCCACTTCCTTTCCAAATTGTAGGAAGGGGGGTGGATGCCTTCCCTGGTATAAGGGACAATGCAAATAATGGTGTTTCCATGCCCTGAGCAGGCAATGTTGTTTCAATTTGCACTGTACTGGGATGGCAGTAGCATCTCAGTTGCCAGCTTGCCTTTACTAAAAAGGAAGAAAAACAGAATGATAGACTGCCCACAGGCCACTTCCCTGCCCAATTATAAGATGCCTCCCATGTCCTCCCCACATTGCTAAAAAAAAGTCCAATGAAAGATTTGAAAACATTGTATTGAGTTGTATATTTTACGGGAGGTAGTTATATTTTGAGCTGTTTTCCAGCAAAGGCAGGATGCAAATCCGCCTATCTCTCCTACATATGTGTGCATGTCTGTGCAAATTCTATGCAAATTGATGTCTTCTTTTGGCATCTTTTTTGGGAGTGCATATTCTCTTTTGGTATGCAAGTTCAAAGGCAACTGAACAATCTATTTAAAAATGTTTAACCAATTTTATCTACTTATCCATATGTAAAGGGTCACAGACACATAGAGATGGTTCAAAGCAGAGGGCACCAAGAGGAAGCAAGTGAATATGCTACTTAACAATTTTAATGATATGATCTGTTAAGAATAGCAGCACTTAACACCGTTAACTAGCTCTGCTCAGGACATGGTTGCAACAGCCACACAACAATTTACAAGGCCTTAGTGTCCCAGCAATAGATAATTTGGCACTAAGCATGTCACCGCCTGCTTAAAAACATTGAGTCAGAGGTGATGCCACAAGTAGTTGTTGGTATGCCTGTGGTGTCTGATCTGTGTGGGCAGATTCACACACTTAATCACAATTTGACACCTCAGTCGTTCCTGATGCTGATACTACAACCCCTCTCTTTCTTCATATTTCAGGATCTCCCTGTGTTGGCAAAAGATGGTCCAATTGTATTGCTTCCAAAACCAGTCACACATGGTTGTGCAAACTCAACAGTGGCCAGCAAGATGATGCCGACAAATCAGCCCAAGTTCAAATTGCAAGGTGTATAACTGGGAAAGATAACAAATCTCCACTTGGATACAGACTGAGACTAATTTTCAAAACTACTTTTTTTACAAATAGACCATCTCAACATATTATCCCCCTCTTTACATGAAATTAATTTACAAACAAACATGGACACGGCTTGCCAAGAAAGAGTATATATTATAAGCAGTGCTATTTTTCTAGAGAAAGAGGTGCCAGAACTAAGTTCAAGTGAGTTGCAGCTGAAGAAAAGCCTTGATCTAGAGAATGACAAGTATCTAGAGAATGACAAACAAGGCAGCCATTAAATTGAGAACAGATGATGGCTTGAAATGTGCAGGTGCTGAGATGTAGATAAATATTTTTTTTAAATACATAGAAAATCCGATGAAAGGTATTGCGTGGCCCCCAGGTGAGCTCCTGCAAATCATTCATGTTTTGCACCCAAAAAATCAACATAATAAATATTTGATACAGTGGTACCTCTGGTTACATACTTAATTCGTTCCGGAGGTCCATTCTTAACCTGAAACTGTTCTTAACCTGAAGCACCACTTTAGCTAATGGGGCCTCCCACTGCCACCACGTCGACACCGCACAATTTCTGTTCTCATCCTGAAGCAAAGTTCTTAACCCAAGGTACTATTTCTGTGTTAGTGGAGTCTGTAACCTTAAGCATATGTAACCCGAGGTACCACTGTACATCTCTTATATTCAGCTTTGTTAAGGGTTTTTTACTTCAGGAAAGGGATACATGTTACAACTACCACCATGAAGAAATTTCTGCCACTCTCATTAATAACACAGTCCTATACAAGTCTAGTCAAAATTAAATCACAATGATTCTGACTAAACATCGGGGGAAACTTTCTGACAGTAAGAGCTGTTTGACAGTGGAACGGTCTCCCTCGGAAGGTGGTGGGCTCTCCTTCCTTCGAGGTTTTTAAGCAGAGGTTGGATGACCACCTGTCATGGATGCTTAGCTGAGATTCCTGCATTGCAGAGGGTCGGACAAGATTGACGCTTGGGTTCCCTTCCAACTTTCCAATTATATGATTCTATGATTTCAGTTGGGCTTACTCTTAGTTAAGTAGGCCTAGGATCTCAGTCCAAGAGTCTTTTCCTTTCCCTTGGCATTCTCCGGCTGCTTTGCTTGAGAGGGAACAGCTAAAGGCAGCTTCCATTTCATTTTACATGAATATGGCTCGCAACCCAGGGAAATATGACAATCCCATCCCATTTACATTCTTTGAAATTTCTCTGACATTTTGCCCAAGCAGGAACCATCAAGTCCCTCTCAAAATTCCCTCTGCCAATGGTTTTGTGGCCACATACACTGACATACATGTGCACACATTTTCTCTGTAGCATGCAGACTGACTGTCCCACAGACCCGTAAGCCCCCAAGGAAACACTTATGGGACTCCAGATATCTATAGGTTCCATTTGTTAATTAATTGATTCTGAAGTAATTTAGCTGCTTTCTTCTCTCTCCCCCACCCACCGCACTTGAGGGAAATGTCGTTTTCCCTCACAACTGTTGCGAGCTGCGGTGCTTTGAAGATTTAACAGCAAGATAATGAAAACAGGAGATTGTGATTAAGGGACCAAGGGCAGATGTTGCTTGAGTAATGGGATTTGTCACAACTCTGCAAGAAGAGTAAAAAACCCCACTAACATATGACTTCTGTCATTAACATTTTTAATGAAAGCTACAGTAGGTGGCTGTGCACACAAATCCTACTAAGTAAACTCCTGAGAATCAATTCACCGAGTACTTAAATTCCAATTACTTTTGAAGAATCGCTAAGCAAGAGGCTCTAGGAGATGCCACCTACAAGTATGGATATGTCGCAGACAGCAATAAACATTCTGATGTGTTTCTTACCTTGTTACTTCTTGCCATGTGATTTTCTACACACAATCTATGTTATTTTTCTGGCACTGAAGGCACCAATTGGCTGAGAAGGTTTGGAGCCAAATTTTCATGGGCCCTTGTCAGTTTGCATTTCTTAGTGCAGAAAGTATCGATCTGATGTGTAGAGATCTTTCCTATTCTACTTATTTCAAGAGGGTTCTGGAAGCTTCTCTGTGTGAAAGAAACAAGCAGAAGGTTCCTATTGTTTGGGTTATTCCTTCAGAGAAGCTGAGTGCAGCTGGCTTAAACTGGTTCTCTTACCTCTTTCTGTCAAGGTCATGCTGACTATAAAAGTAGGGCCAGAAGAAGCCTGCGTTTCACTTTCTCTTTCTAGCTCTTTTCCTTCTGGTGTGGTGTTCTGTATATAGTGTTAAGATTTTGACTTATTATAAGTTACTGTAAGTTTAATTTAAATCTACTGCAAATGGATTTCTTATGGATTCAGGATTTCCTGAATATATTGGATTTGTGACCATGATGCTCATTTGCCTTCAGTAGAAGTAAAGCTCTGCTGGATGAAATATAATTGACTCGGGTCTATTTTGGGGGAATCCTGCAAAATGTTTAAGTTTTTACTCTGCTAACTATACATTGGAATCTACTCTGGATCAATACTGAGTAGAATTTCAATGACAGGTGCTACCTGTGGGTCCCTGCTTGGTGCCAACTAGGCCCTTGCTTGGTACTGCTGTCCCATCAGATTCCCTGCAGACTGTCAGCATCATTGGACTTTGGGGAATCTAACATATTAGGTGGCTTCTGATGAATGGAGTTGAGCACTGGCTCTCATAGTAAGATCCACTACCGCCATATCTCTGAAGATGGGAAAGAGGGCACTGAGGTGATTGGCTAGTGGTGAAAGGAAGCAGCAGTCTTGTCATGATAACCTCCTTCTTCTTCTTTGGCAATCACACTTAGCCGAGTAAGATTGTCTTCCATAATCACGGTTTTAAAAGTGAGTTTGTAAGTGACTGTGGAGGCCAATTCTGGATGCACACATCCTTCCACTGAGGGTACATAGGTTGGTCATGGGTGAGGGTTTGCCAAACATGCCTTCCTCTTAACTCATTTCTCCCTTTTGTCCCAAGTTTGAGTGTCTTCAAAGTCCATGACACCTTTTGTAAAGGCTATTCTCCAATTGGAGCCTTTGCAGGCCAGTGTTTCCCACTTGTCGGTGTTTATACAACATTTTTTTCCAGATTTGCCTTGAGAGAGTCTTTGAATCTCTTTTGTTGACCACCAGCATTACACTTTCTATTTTTAAGTTTGGAGTAGAGTAGTTGCTTTGGAAGATGATAATCAGGTCAAATATGTAGAACTGGTGAAACTGATCCACAGGATCCGGAACCATGAAGAAACAAAGTTCAAAAAAGAATGGAGTAAATTTGTTGAGTATATAGGTAACAACTGTAGAGGTTTAAAGACTGTAGCAGGGATAAAATAAATATTGTGATGTGGGTAGGTTGTAATTAAGAAACTGTAAGAGTGGAATTTAATATGAAAGCCGGATGAAGGGAGGGAGGGAATATGATAGTGCCCGTGGAAATAAGCAGATATACAATTGTTGAGATGTAGAGTATTTATTTTGTTTGTTTATGTTATAGAAAACTTAATAAAAAGCATTTTTTTTTAAAAAAAGGAAGATGATAATCAGGTATCCGCACAACATGACCAGTCCAATGGATGTTGAAGAATCATTGCTTTGACACTGGTGATCTTTGCTTCTTCCATGAAACTGGCATTAGTTTGCCTGTCTTCCCAATAAATATTTAAATAGTGGTAGTGGGGTGTCTCACTGGTGCTAGGGTTGGTAGCCCCCAGGTCACTGGTAAATGCCTGACCATGCCAAACATTGATGCAGCACAGACTCACAGTACAGGCTGTGTGATATATGACAGTTACCCATCTGGCTGTGTTGGGCAAGAATTAGGAAAGCGTTTCCAGCAGTTAGAGAATGGGGAAGGAAAGCTGAAGGCAAGTGGTAAAGCAACCAACAGAATGATGTACATTAACCCGATGGCTAACAAGTGACAAAAAGAAAATTAATAGCCACATTTTAATGCAAGAATAGTAACAACAAAGCTAAGAACAGCAGGGTAAAAACAGAAAATATCCACAAAGCATCCAGTCCCATTAAGGCAGTTTCCAGCAGCGTTAAAATAAATCCCCAGCAGAGATCAAAACACTTAATGCCCAAATGTCTTCTTTAAAAAGAAAGTTTTCCCTACACAGCAGAAATTCATTAATGGAGGTTGGGGAAGATAGTCTTTTCCAAATAGTAGGTGGCTATGCCCAGATATGCACTCTCTAAGGCCAAGAGAAGCTATGGAGAATAAAGTTGTGTGGCATTAGACCTGATGGCCCCCTCAGGCTCCTCCAGTTCTATATTACATCCTGAAACAAGGCGGATAGGTATACATGGCAAGAATAGCCCCACTCCAGGGCCCTCCCAGTAGAATGATCTTTCTGGATGGGATTTGCCTAGGAAGTGGTCCAAAGGCACATGAAGTCACCACATCGCCGAAAATAAAGGTAAAAAAAAAAAAGGTAAAGGACCCCTGGATGGTTAAGTCCAGTCAAAGGCAACTATGTGGTTGCAGCACTCATCTTGCTTCAGGCCAAGGTAGCTGGAGTTTGTCCACAGCAATATGGCTGCGAAAAATCCACATTAGAAGAATGTTTGAATGTTCTATAATAAAACTCTTACTTAACCATTCCTTCTGTTTTCCTGGCAGGTCACACTAAAAGGTAAAGGTAAAGGACCCCTGGATGGTTATGTCCAGTCAAAGTCGACTATGGGATTGCAACACTCATCTCGTTTTCAGGCTGAGGGAGCCAGCGTTTGTCCACAGACAGCTTTTCGGGTCATGTGGCCAGCAGGACTAAACCGCTTCTGGTGCAACGGAACACCGTGATGGAAACCAGAGCTCATGGAAATGCTGTTTACCTTCCCACCACAGCAGTACCTATTTATCTACTTGCACTGGTAAGCTTTCGAACTGCTAGGTTGGTGGGAGCTGGGACAGAGGAATGGGAGCTGACCCCATTGCAGGGATTTGAACTGCTGCTCTTCTGACTGGCAAGCCCAAGAGGCTCAGTGGTTTAGACCACAGCGCCACCCGTGTCCAGCTGAAAATAAGGAAGGTTAGGTCTGGTTAGTGCCTGGATGAGTGATCCCCATAGGAATAAGCATGATGCATTTGCTTTATGGTAGAATAAATATGAGAAATAAATATAAGAATATAATAAATAAATAGCTGGTAACTAGTACGAACCTTCTGGTTCTAGAGATTTTATGGACTGCCCGCTGGTATTGATGTCTTTTGGGGAAAAGAACCAACAGTATTTTATCACTGACTATTGGATATGCTTAAACTCTTTTTTCATTATAGATTGTCTTTTTGTACCCTTTCCCTCATTTGTGA